ACATTCGCAACCTGAGCATCCACTATACTGGTTTGAGTCTATTTTGGGTTTTAAAGGTCAGTACCAACACTTTGAATTGTTCTCAGAAACATACTGGGAGCCAATGAAGATCCTTTAGGACCAGTGTTATATGGTCCTTGCGGCCATTCCCAATCACCTGTCTAGCTGCCGCATTTTGGATTAGTTGTAGTTTCCTTCAAAGGTAGCCCCATGTAGAGCACATTGCAGTAGTCCAAGTGGGAGATAACCAGAGCATGTACCACTCTGGCGAGACAGTCTGCAAGCAGGTAGGGTCTCAGTCTTCCTCTTCCCTCCCCACTGGTCTCCAAGAATGTGCAGAATAATGAGAGCAGAACAGAGGCCAGAGGTGGGCAGATGCAGTTTGAGACTGCTTGGGAAACATCCAGGAGAGGAGTAGTCTTAGTAATTGTGGATGGCAGGGACCTTTATGTCAGGAGTTCAGCCTACACTCAAGTAGGACCCTGGCAGAGACACATGCCCAACTGGCATGTTCTCTCACTCCTGGTCGATTGTTCAGGAGCTTCAAAAGCTTTCTTCTGCCTGAACATCACAACGACCAATGTCAACAGACACCGGGACACTTAAGGATCCGTAGAGTCTTCGCAGTTGCGTAACAGACCTCAGCAACTCAGCATTTTGGCTAATCTACTTTATTTACATATAAACACACATGGAGCACTGCAACCTGGCTCCCTCTCTCTCTAGCATCAGACAGCAAAGAGAAAAAGAACAAAGTACAACAGTCCCACTTCACGGAACACAGTAACACAAACATCCTGTCTCCGTCACTTCCCACTCTGTGGGGTCAAAATATATATTATCATGTGATAGACAAAAATCCCATGACTGCAATCGCGGAGCAGCAATTCTAACACTTTAGTCCTGGCAACTGCTCTAAAGGGACTAAACCTACTGGGAAGTGTTGACGAATTGCATGCCATTTCCTTGAATAAAGAGTTAAATTCACTGACAACAGAGCCCTGAGTCTTCCATGCTGACTCTAGCCCTGACAGCAACATGGCCTAGGTTTCCTTTCCTTGTATCCTTAGTTTTTCTTCGATCCTAAGTTGTCATTTATGTAACCCCAGCGAGAGAGTTTCCCCCAAGCTGCCCTTGATCCACAGGTCTCTAAGACTACCAGCACCTTCCTCAGATGAGTCTTCTTTTCCCTAAGCTAGCAAGAGAAGAAAGTAGGCACTGCCAGCATCTCAGAATGCACAATGCCCTCTCCTGCTCACATCTGGAGTCTGATAGCCCAGGGCTAGTTGTTGAGGAGCTGGTGTGTGGCAAACACCCGTTTCAACATCAGAGAGCCAAGGAAAATAAGAAGTGGGTGGGGGACACACCAATATTTGCTGCGTCTGTAGCAGACGTTCATAAATAATGCACGTGAAGCCTGACCTCCCGATCGGGAATTCTTGCCGCTGAAGCAAAAAGGGAAATAAAAAGCGGATCCTATCCAGAAGTCTGGTTTTCAAAGCTGACATGGCAGTTGCTAATCTGAGGCTTGGGATACATAAGTTTCAACCTTTCAGATGTGTAGGGGTCATGCCTCAGAGGTTTCAGAAGCTGAGAGGATAATATAACCCTAATATCGCTACAAAATGGAATTCTTTACCCGTGCTATTTCAGAGGACATCTTCCCTTCCGTGAGCCATTCATGGAAGACTCAGTTCACCCCAGAGCTTAAAACAGAGCCTCCATGTGGCTAGAAGCCTCTGAGTCACTGTAGCAGTTATAGGTTAGGGCAGCTGCTACAGCCTAGGGTGGCGCTTTGTCCTGGATCTTAGGCAAGTCAATGGAAAAATCACTTTAGGGGGAGTTCTTGTTAATTAAAAGCTCAACAACTTTAGGTAAAGGTAAAGGGACCCCTGACCTTTAGGTCCAGTCGTGGATGACTCTGGGGTTGCAGCGCTCATCTTCGCTTTACTGGCCGAGGGAGCTGGCGTACAGCTTCCAGGTCATGTGGCCAGCATGACTAAGCTGCTTCTGGCGAACCAGAGCAGAGCATGGAAACACCGTTTACCTTCCCGCTGGAGCAGTACCTATTTATCTACTTGCACTTTGACGTGCTTTTGAACTGCTAGGTTGGCAGGAGCAGGGACCGAGCAATGGGAGCTCACCCTGTTGCGGGGATTCAAACTGCCGACCTTCTGATCGGCAAGCCCTAGGCTCTGTGGTTTAACCCACAGTGCCACCCACGTCCCTTCATCAACTTTGGGGCTTGTCTAAAAAAGCTCGACAACTGTTGGGGAGTCCTGGTTTTTACTTTTTGCAATATGGCAACCCTACTACACCACTTGCTGACAATCCACTTTTAGTCCTCTCTCAGCACTGCCCTCTGCCATCCCATCAATCCTTCAGCACCAGCAGGCTTTGTTTCTCAACAGCAGAAACAGGTAAGATGGTTGGTGCTGCAAATTTTCTCTCTGTTGCTTCTAGAAAAACCAGTGTGATGCCAAATGGCAAGTGATCAGGTGAGGATTCTCATAAATAGACTCATGGTTGACGTGGAGGGCATGATGAAGACCTGAGTCACGCCTGAGAAATCAACCTCAGTATGTATGTTGAAGATACCTGTAGATCAGTGTTTCCCAAACTTGGATCTCCAGCTGTTTTGGGGACTACAACTCCCATCATCCCTAGCTAGCAGGATCGGTGGTCAGGGATCATGGGAACTGTAGTCCAAAACAGCTAGAAGCCCAAGTCAAGTCAAGTAATCTTTATTGGCATCACATAAGAACATTCATAATACATTTAAAATAGATAAAGGTAAAGGGACCCCTGACCATTGGGTCCAGTCGTGGCCGACTCTGGGGTTGCGGCGCTCATCTCGCTTTATTGGCCAAGGGAGCCGGCGTACAGCTTCCGGGTCATGTGGCCAGCATGACTAACCACTTCTGGTGAACCAGAGCAGCACATGGAAGCAAATTTACCTTCCCGCCGGAGTGGTACCTACTTATCTACTTGAACTTTGATGTGCTTTCGAACTGCTAGGTTGGCAGGAGCAGGGACTGAGCAATGGGAGCTCACCCTGTGACAGGGATTTGAACTGCTTACCTTCCGCCAAAGGGCAGAAGAGGCAAGCAATCCGCCTCATCTCTGAGGGTTTCCAGCAAGGGCAGGATCCTGTAGCATACTTCGGCGACAAAAAAATCAAATAGAGGAACTTAGCTACTGTCTTGGTGAGTTCCTGGTCTCTCCCCTGTAATAAGAAGCGCATAGCCTCTGTCTTTGATTTCCATGTTGGAATACATAGATGGTCTAGAAATTGTTGGTGGAGATCATCATACATTTTATAGTTAAGGGCCATGTGAGCTAGAGTTTCTACCAGGTGGGCATCACATGGGAATATCCTATCTCCTTCTGCCAAACCCACAAACCTACCACAAAGGAGGTTAGAAGCATTAGAATTGGACTTAGCCAGTGAAAACGCCCTTCTTTCTTGCGGATTAAACAAAAATTGTAAATAATTAAGATTAAATTCCTGCACCCAAGAGAGTCGAAAAGAAAGAGGGGAGCATGTTTTTTCCGTGGCTGAGATTAGTTCCTGGCGATCTATGTCCCACAGCCTAGTTTTAGAAACCCAAGTTTGGGATCTCCAGATGGCATTCTCCAGATGGAGGGTTAATCAAAGCAGTGTCCTTTCTCTCTCAGTTTAGGGCACTCTTCCCCAACGTGGTGCCCTCCATATCTTTTGAACTATGCAACTCCAGATGCAGCATGGCCAACAGTCAGTGGAGGTCACTAGTTTAGGGAAAGCTGGTTAGAGGTCATTTCACATCCTCTTGTTGTTGAGTCGTTTAGTCACGTCTGACTCTTCGTGACCCCATGGACCAGAGCACGCCAGGCACTCCTGTCTTCCACTGCCTCCCGCAGTTTGGTCAAACTCATGCTGGTAGCTTCAAGAACACCGTCCAACCATCTTGTCCTCTGTCGTCCCCTTCTCCTTGTGCCCTCCATCTTTCCCAACATCAGGGTCTTTTCCAGGGAGTCTTCTCTTCTCATGAGGTGACCAAAGTATTGGAGCTTCAGCTTCAGGATCTGTCCTTCCAGTGAGCACTCAGGGCTAATTTCCATAAGAATGGAGAGGTTTGATCTTCTTGCAGTCCATGGGACTCGCAACAGTCTCCTCCAGCACCATAATTCAAAAGCATCACATCCTCTTACCTGTATGCAAAGGGAAGGATAATGACCCTCATTTCAGTGGAATTTCACAGGCACATTCCACACATTTCTTGCACGCTGATTTCTTCTATGCTCTGCACATGGGCACCAACCAGAGCCGGTTCTTTTCATTGCACTGCAGAGAACAGAATTTGCTCCACCCCTGCTATCTCCAAGATCACATCTCCTTAATCCAATTACAGTAAAAGAGGACTAATTAAACCCAGTGGATAATGATAGCACTATGAGGACTTAGCATTCTATCCTCAAAGCTCTTTATGGGAATTAACTAATTAATAGGGGAAAGGAGCTTAAAAATCAGGGCATGAACTCAGCATACCATTAGCATGGGTGACTCAGCCAGCCTCTCTTTTGGGCTCCGGCTTCTCAATCAGCTATTCCCAATCTTTTCCTTCTTTTCTGTTTGCTACAGTTAAAATGCACATTGACATTTGGGGCCTTTCTGATTGCCTATTTCACTAGGTGGATTCTGTTCCATACCTGCTGGGCCAAGAGCCCACTGCAATCAGGCAGACCTTAAGTGGGGGACCAGAGGGGAGACGAACTGCTGTTAAAAAGAGCAAATCAGGATTGGTCAAGTCAATAAGGCAAGCATGAGTTGACCAGAGCATCCAAAGAGCCAGGTATGGGTTACTTACCACAGGCTGTGGCAAAGGCTGCAGGACCAGGACCACGGACAGCTCCAGGTGTAACAACAGCTTCACTGCAGCAAAGGTTAGATTGTGAGCAGGCTCAATGGCTGGCAGAGAAAATTTAACCAGCAAAGGAAGAACACTTCCCCCGAACTTGGGTCTTCAGCTGTTTTTTGGACTACAATCCCCATCATCCCTGACCACTGGTCCTGCTAGCTAGGGACGATGGGGGCTGTAGTCCAGAAACAGCTGAAGACCCAAGTTTGGGATGCTTTATTGAAATTGAAATGGAAATACTTTATTGTCACTTGTACAACTTGCATACAGTGAGATTACACAAGCACCCCTCACTCAGCTCTTAGTTTTAATTCCCGCGTTTACTGACGCACACCCACCAAACCCAAAAGTCAGTTGCCCTGTTGTTATCTTTTCATTCAGCAGCCTAACAGCCCACGGATAGAAGCTGTTCTTTACCCTGTTGGTGCGACTAATCATGCTTCTATATCTTCTGCCCAAGGGCTGTAGATCAAGAAAGTGCCGGCCAGGGTGTGAATTATCCCTGAGAATTTTCCTCACTCTCCTGAGGCAACGTTCTTCCGTGTTTCATCCAGTGGATTCACGGGACAGCCCATAATATCTTGTGCTGTATTCACCACCCTCTGTAGGCACTTCCTATCAGTTGATGTCAAACCAGTGTACCATATTGTGATGCAAAAAGGCATCTACACCAGATGCTAGTTAAGTGGTTTGCTCTCGGGTGCAAAGTGTTCCTCCCCTGGTCCCCAAATAGCCAGTGCAGAAGCATAAGAACATAAGAAGAGTGTGCTGGATCAGGCCAATGGCCCATCTGGTTCTCCTGTTCTCGCAGGGACCAACCAGATGCCCAAGGGAAGCTCGCAAGGAGCACAAAAACACTCTCCCCTCCTATGGCTTCCAGCTGAAGGAATGGGTTTCCCAAACCCAAAACTGACTGTGCAGGCAGTTTGAAACTGCACCAAAATCCCTATTTTTCCTTAGCTAAAATGCTTTAACTTGAGCTCTTGAGCCAAAACCCAGCTATATAAACAAGTGCTCAAAGCTCTCTCCCTTATCAGTCCATGAAGGCCGGTAATGATGGATGGCTTTGTCCATTCCAAAGTGGAACAGGGATGACACTCTGGGCCTTATCTTACATCCTGACCACAAAGACCACAAAGACACGCAGACCTAGTCCGGGAACAGCGCTAGAGTGTGTTCTTGGAGTTGGTGACCTCTTGCTCCAAGATAAGAGTATAAGAACAGGAATACCCTTTTATGGTCAGAAGTACCGGAAGGAATACCCTTTTATGGTTAAGAATACCACAGCAGGAACATCTGTGATTTCAACCTGCGTGTATAGGCTGACGTGGTTGGATTCCTGGGGAAGGAGGGAGAGGGTGCCTGGAGGATGTATATACTTGCATGAAATTTCTCATTTCTTTGGACTTGCTGTGGACTGACCACACAAGTGCCTTTCCAGAGAGCAGAAATAAAGAACTCTTTCTCTGAACCAACCCTCGGTGTCATTTGACTTCCTTCCTCCTGTCCGGGAGCAACGCAGACCCAATCGGTGAACTCCAATAAGGCTACACAGCCACTGGCATTCTGGCTTAAAACCGTCTATCAAAAACATCACTCTTGTGGCCTATCCCCACAACACCTACTCACTATGGGCCCCACTAAAGCAAACAGTCTAATTGTTCAACGTCTAAAAGATATCGAGCATCAGAACAACCTGGCCACTATAAGGAAATTCTGCCCTTGGTGTATCCAGTTTCCACCTTTCCATTTTGATTCCCTGGCCCCAAATCTGCACAAATTTATTATCCCAAAATGCACCCATGCGTTTACATTTGCAAGACTGAATGTTTTGCCATCTGCAGTATTTGAGGGTCGATTCCAAAATATCCTGCCTGAGAAATGTCTTTGCCCCTGTGGAGATGGTAGCACCGAAACATTGGCACACATCCTCCTGTCCTGTACTCTCTACAAAGACCTGAGGAATGAGATCATCACCTCACTCGTACTAACCATCCCAGGGCACTCAACCACTGCCACAATGTCCTTTCTTCTATCAGATCAAAATGAGCAGATAACAGCAAAGGTTGCTAGGTTCATAACAGGGGCAATCAGAATAAGGGCCACTAACTGACTGCTGATTCAGGGCTTTAAATTGTGCTTTTATATCAAATTTCCTTTTCTGCATATACTGTAATGTTTTACTGTTGCTATGGCCATTGGCTAATGCAAATAAAGTTTTATCTCTCCTATGGCTTCCAGCCATTGGCATTCCAAAGCATTACTGCCTCTGATCTCAAGGGCAGAGCACAGCCATCGTAGCTAGCTGCCATCAATAGTCTTCTCTTCCATGAATTTGTCCAGTTCTCTTGTTGTTGTTGTTGTTTAGTCGTTTAGTCGTGTCCAACTCTTCATGACCCAATGGAGCAGAGCACGCCAGGCACTCCTGTCTTCCACTGCCTCCCGCAGTTTGGTCAAACTCATGTTGGTAGCTTCGAGAACACTGTCCAACCATCTCGTCCTCTGTCGTCCCCTTCTCCTTGTGCCCTCCATCTTTCCCAACATCAGAGTCTTTTCCAGGGAGTCTTCTCTTCTCATGAGGTGGCCAAAGTATTGGAGCCTCAGCTTCAGGATCTGTCCTTCCAGTGAGCACTCAGAGCTGATTTCCTTCAGAATGGATAGGTTTGATCTTCTTGCAGTCCATGGGACTCTCAAGAGTCTCCCCCAGCACCATAATTCAAAAGCATCAATTCTTCGGTGATCAGCCTTCTTTATGGTCCAGCTCTCACTTCCATACATCACTACTGGGAAAACCATAGCTTTAACTATACGGACCTTTGTCGGCAAGGTGATGTCTCTGCTTTTTAAGATGCTGTCTAGCTAGTTGCCATCAATAGTCTTTTCTTCCATGAATTTGTCCAGTCCTCTTCTAGAGCTATCTAAGTTGATGGCCATCTCTGCCTCCTGTAGGAATGATAGCTCAGTTGGATGAGCATGAGACTCACAGGGTATGGGTTTGAGCCCTGCATTGGACAAAATATTCTTGTATTGCAGGGGGTTGGAGTAAATGATCCAATTATCCAACTCAACAATTCTATGATTCTATGAATATGTGCTGTTTATCTGCCCTGAGCTTTCCGAAATCCTTGAACACCCCCAGAAAAAAGCACTGATAATAGGATATATATTCATTTTGCGTATATTTCTATACCGCTTTCATATATTTCGTATATGTATATATTGCTTAACAGTTTATAAACAGCTTCTGAGCAGTTTGCAAAAATACAAAAACACACACTGAAACAAGAAAAAACTGCAATATCAAATCAAACAATAATATCCCCCTGAGTAAAAGCATAGCAGCACATTTTGAAAACATAGTAAGATTCAAGACTTCCTTCCAGTTTTACCCTCCCCCTTGCCAAGACACATCCAGACTCATGATATGCAACACTCACCCACTGATGCAAACTAGATTCTGTCTCATGTCTGACTCAATATCCTTGCTATGTAAACACAAATCTTGCAGTACCCGTCCAATACAAACTGATTTCACTCTGCTCCTCTGCCCCCCCACACATTTAGTGATTAAGTTGCGTAAAAATAGCTGAAATTTAAAAAGCTAAAAAGAAAGTAATAAACATACCATCCACCTAATCACGCCAACATCTCCCTCTGTCACCAAACCGTTGTCTCCAATGGTGATATGAGGAGATTGGAGAAACAATTCATTTAACAAAAATGGAGGGCTTGAACATAAAACTATTGGATTACTTACTGTTACAATATCTCAAAAGAACAGGGATGAGAGATGCAGGTGCATGAGTTGATTATAGGATGGTGGAAGTTGCCAGCCCATAATTCAGACCCATCATAGTTTCCTGAAAATGTTCCCATGTCGGCTGATGATAAGACTCGCATAGCACCGCACTAAGCACTTGTTGCCTGGTTTGAATGAAAAATGAATACTCTTAATGCTTATCAGTCTAAGCACAGGAAAATACTTTTAGCAGAATCCCGGTCAATTATTATATGCTACATTGCTATATTTCAGATGCAACTTTAAAAAAAAAAGTCAGATCAGCTTTTATGGTGCTCTGGAACGGTTCCCAGTTTTGCATATTGCTATATCATAAGACCAAATAATTAACATCCATCACTCTTTTCCCCAATATCTTTTAACAAGCTTCTCGAAAACAGGATAAACATAGACTGCAGAATGTGCTGGCCCCGGGGTAACCCAAGAAACGCGGTCCAGGGCTAGTCCAGAATCCAAAGGTTCCACTAGGAGTCAGTCCAACAGGGCCAAGGCAGGACATGAGGCAGGAAACCAGGCAAGGGCAGGTACAGGATTCAGGCAAGATCTACCATACAGCAATGTTGCTCCCGCAACCTGGGGCAGGGCCCAACAGCCTTTTATCTTTGTTGGGGTAGGTCCTGCTCACCTGGTGACTCACCTCCCTGTTTTGCCCGAAGGCAAGCACTCCTCCTGCGAGTGCTCAGGTCTCGCCTTCTCTCAGACCTCAGTCTCTGCAGCTCAGGAGACATCGGTGGGTTACTAGACCCAGGGGCCACCTCAGCCTCCCCTGACCCAACCGGTAGTGGAGCAGCTGTAAGTGATGGCCCAGCTGAGGACAACAAGGTAATCCCCGCATCTGGAGCCAGGGCAGGCTCAGGCCCCTGACTCGGCCCAGCTGGTGTTTGTTGCAGGGGCACCTGTGCAGACTGGGACTCTTCAGGATCAGGTCCCAGACTTGGTTCAGGTGATGCCTGAGGCAAAGAATCCGGTGTAGACTGAGACCCCTCTGGTTCCGAGTCCGAGCCCGAGTCCCAGGCCATCGCACAGACAATACAGGCCTGTATGGACCATAGATCTGCTTAGGTATGAGGAAGCTCCATTGTTCCATGATGCCTCCAACCATGGTGCTTCGGGATACCAATTGCTGGAAGCCACAGGAGGGATCTTGTGCTGATTCCTGCTCTCTCTGGCTTTCCACCAGCATCTGGTTGGCGGCTGTGAGATCAGGACGCCAGACTAGGTGGGCAATTGACCCGATGCAGGAGGCTCTCAGAATCACAGCTATTTTTATCAATGAATAAACAGAGTTGCACTCAAATGCGGATGACTTTTCCTGAGGGTTTTATAAAAGGTAAAGGTAAAGGGACCCCTGACCATTAGGTCCAGTCGTGGCCGACTCTGGGGTTGCGGTGCTCATCTCG